TTATTCTATTTACTGGCCAGGATGCTATGGGCGCATGGAATACACTTTTATCTTGAATTTTGGGAACCGGTGAATTGATCATTTATAGTAAAGAAACTGCTTATGGCAGTGAAAATATTTATTCTCACTGTGAAATCATCTTTTTTCATTGCAGGAAGAATGCTTCTTTGTGTTAGAGAGAGATCAGTTTCTGATAGGCACAACCACTCTTCACTACAGAGGCAATTCAGTTCTGGGCATGGTCAGAAGGTTGATGATAGTGGGTCTGGAAGTGGAACTAGAATATCTCATTTTCTTCCTACGTCTCGGCGGATAGTTCAGTTCTCAAATAGCAGGGTATAACTTTCTCATGAATTGAATATTGTTTATGTTCTTTGATGAATATTCCACGAGGCACCACAGCATGGCTTAGCAGTTGGCACCTAGTCTTGATCTTAGAAGCAACTTCTAGGTATCACTATCTATATTAGTCCCTCTGAAAACGGCACTTTTTTCATGGTGGGATTGTGTGAGAGAGTGCTACCTTGAGTTCCTCTTGTAGTTCAAAGGCATGTGCTAAATACCCGTTGGAAAGTCAGTTTTTTTTTATGTTCATGTAGTTTTTTGACATAATAAAGATATTTTCTTCGGTGGGAGGGAGTACAGAGCGCCTGCTCTAGTGTTAACTTGTGCCCTGTTGATTAGTCGATTGTGATCGATTGCGGAAGTGTGGCAGCAATAGGTGAATTGTTTAATAGTACTTCGACAAGTTCAGAGGCGATTGTCGCATCCACAATAAAGAATCCAATCCTTGAAAGTATCAGAAAAAAACCATATGTTTGTTATTGAGTTATCTATTACATGAGCATACAGTGTAACTGTATGTTTGTTTCATTTCTGTAAATGTGGTGATAATAAGTGCTTTTTAACTGAATAAAACCGTCTCCCTCTTTCCAAACTTTTGCTACAGTTCATTCTGTGTTGACTGTAAGCTTTACCAATGTAGGGTCCAGGACCAGATTCTCGGATAGTTTACATAGATGGTGCATTTGATCTGTTCCATGCTGGGCATGTTGAGGTAAATACAAGAAGGAAAACATCATCTGTCTCAGCATTCAGCCGCACTTCCCATATTGGCATGTTGGCTCTACTTATATTTTTTCTTCTTATTGCAAGGAAGCAATCAAGCAAACTGAACTTTCCTTTCCAAATTATAGCACTGCAAACTTTCTTTTGTATTTATAGTTTCTTCTACGTAGATATTGCGACTTGCTCGAGGGCTTGGAGATTTCTTGCTTGTTGGTATTCACACGGATCAGACCATAAGGTAATATACGATGGTTGCTTCCTCTTTTCTTCTTCCAATCCTTTATGAGGTACAATATGTGTACGGTTTATTCAATTGTCCAAGTTTACAATGTGCATTTGTTTTGAAGCCTACCATCTCTACTCAGTTCATTCAACATTATATTCAGTCTAGATTTTGCTGCTGATGTTTATTATATTGGTTAGTTCTACACGAGGACCACATCGCCCAATCATGAATCTTCATGAGCGAAGTTTGAGTGTCCTAGCCTGCCGTTATGTTGATGAAGTAATCATTGGTGCTCCATGGGACATTTCAAAAGACATGGTGAGTTGTAGTTGTCTACTCTACTCTAAACCATGACATTATCTTATTGTAGTATAAAATGCTTGATGCATTCGTTGTACTATTTCCTTGAACACTGCACTTAAGAGTTAAGACTACTCATTGAGTGCCCACACTCTGCTAAGGATAAGAAACATGTATCCTAGCACGTTGAGCCGTCTTTGTAAGGCTCGGTCAGTCTGCCTTCTCCCCGGCCTCACCTATGCTGGGCTTCTGCCTCAGCAGCTGTGCTTGGTCTACCCACCATGTCAGTGGCTTTGCTGCTGCGCCTGGTTGCGCTTCAGTGTGATACTTGTCATGATTTGTGTTGAAGTATTTATTTGCTGAGAGTTGTTTTTTCTTCCAAAATAGTCTTCTAGCTCTTTAAAGGAGGTAGAAACGTAGAACAGGGAGGTGGGAGGGGTAAATAAACCACTGTGATTATTGTAGCCACTGCCACCACCAACTCTACTATTTGTAGTACCAATTACTAAACGGATACATTCGTACACACATTGTATAGAACATGACACTTACGCTGTACCAATAGAACTCACAATTCCACAGGAAGTATTAAATTTGAATACGTGCTGGCTTAGCTTGGTCCCAAGTTTTACTTTGGTGGCACGAGTTTTTTCACAAGATAGCATAGTGTCAGTAGACATTCTTTCTTTCTTGGCTTGGTCCCAAAGTTTAGGTATTTCAGCTAGATTTGAGGATTGAACCAAATTATTTAAAATCATGAGCTGCAATTTTAGCTACGAATATCAGGTTATATTTGTGGGGGTTTATGCCAGGAGTTCTCTAACTTCATTTTTCTTTGCAGATTACAACATTTAATATTTCATTAGTCGTTCAAGGAACAATTGCTGAGAACATGGATTTTGCGAAGGTAATCACATAGTTTTTTTTCCAATAATATTTCTTAGAAAATCCTAATGTGGAACATAACATTCTTTATTTACTATGGCCACTCGTGCAGGACGAGTCACATCCATATGCTGTCCCAATGGATATGGGTATTTTCCGCAGATTGGAAAGCCCTTTGGATATCACTACTAGTACTATTATAAGGAGGATAGTTTCTAACCATGAAGCCTACCAGGTAACTACCGTAGTGTTGTATCAGATTGCTGGGCTGAATTTGGTCTCTTATCAATAATGTGATTTTTCTTTTGTCTTCTTATCAATAATGTGCACACGTGAGCTGTTTTATACTGATGTTATGATAATGAATTGATGTTCTGGTGAAGCTTTCTCCTGTGTGTAGTTTTGTACTTGTGTACATTAAATATTTGTCTCCTGGGACCAATATTTCCTGCTATGTCTTATGCTCTGTTGTTTGATGTGGTTCCCATTTATGCTGGTCCATTGATCTGGTGTGGTTTTTACTCACTTTTTCTGTGGTGTTGCTTTGTGCAGAAGCGGAATGAAAAGAAGGAAGCCAGTGAAAAGAAGTACTACGAGAGTAAAAACTTTGTCAATGGAGAGTAGTTTGTGAACATACATTTTGAGATGCTAATACCCCGTCACAAATGCAACCAACCATCAGGTGTTCCACAGGTTTATTGTTTATGTTATCTTTGTCATGTTGATGATATAGGCTTAGGTAGCTTGTGATGCAACCACGCCTAGTGAGATTGAGGCAGTGGTGGTGTGCTGGAGGGGGAAGATGTTTCCTCCGTCCACCTTCAGTCTCCATCTTTCCTGGCTAGGGCCCCTGTTTATGGGCCTTCGCTGCCTGCTGTTACCACAAGTTGTAGTTGTGGCCTGTAGTTTCATAACTGTGGTACAGTATGAATGTTAGGTTAAATAACTATTTGCTGTTGTTGCTTTATTTATGCCTCCCGATATATGCGGGCACCATATGCAGTCCTTTTCGGAGAGTCCTCTTCTGATCTTGAGCTGAAAAATGGACTAACTGATATTGTACGTGTGGGTCGGTGATAGCAACTGCGGTCTGATGGTACACCTGGATGAATGGTTCCAACGTCGGTTGGTGACATCTCGGTATCTGATGGTATCATGATGTGGATATGCAGATCACTGAATCTTGACAAAATGGTCGCTAGCAGGAACACTGGAAGGCTGCCAAGTTGCCGCGCTTTGCTGGTTCAGCCTGGTGCACGTTGGTCGCCATGGATGAAAGGGATGTGCTACCTGTGATCTCCAGACAGCACATCTGGGCATGCTCTCCTGTGAGCGACCTACACTGTTTCTAGCCATTGTTTTGCCTCCCTACTCTATCTCGCTCTCATTTGGATCTAGAAACCTGTTGCTTAGTTTTTTGAGTGGCTATGGGCACGCCGCGTGAGTCGGTGAACTGGAGTGTCTATTTCGTGTGGGAAATCATTTCGCTTTCTTCCTGGGAAGATCTATTTATGGACGTGCTGCTATATTTGGCCTCACAAACTAAGATTTGTGCACCTCATTTGCATCCGGGGACATGGATCACTCTGGGGAGAGGATGTCCGCACCCACGCCCACGCTCCTGCGGCGCGCTACTCCGGCGGCCGCAGCCACCGCCGCCGCTGCTGCCCCGCTCCAGATCAGCCCGCAGGCCAGCCCCCCGTTGTCCCCGCTCCTCCCGCCGGGCTTTCCGTGGCCTCTCGTGCGGCGAGGCACTCCTGCCGACCCGTGTCCGCCGCTGCTGGCACCGTGCTTATCAGATCTGGGTTCGCCGCCACGGCGACCCGCTTCCTCTGATCCCTCCTACGTCGCTGACTCCCAGCTGGCGACCTCCGATGCGGAGGGAGGCGAGGTTCTGCAGCGCTCGGTTTGCTTTGCCTTGAATGCTGTCGTGCTGGATTCAACTCCTCCCCTCCCCATTCAAGGCGCGCACAGGCCATGCCTCAAGACTGCTCCTGCAGGCGCCTTCAAGAGCTGCCGGCGTCCGACGCGGACGTCGCGTCGCTCGAGTCCCGAGCCTGCCGCGTCTCCCGGCGTCTACTCCGAGGATGGTTGGCAACTCGTCAAGGCGCCGTACTGGTGGCGTGCGCTGCCCAGCTACCAGCATTCAAAGCAGAGGAGGGTCTCTGCTTCTTATTCCCCTTCAACGGGAAGAAGTTTCGTCCACCACCGCTTCCGCACCTGCCATCGATGCCTCGAGGTCGGCCACTGCAAAATTGACTGCCGAAATCCTTTTAGGTGCCGGACGTGCAAGCAGTGTGGCCACCGCGCCCGTGACTGCAACGCCTCACCCGTCCCCTCGCCCTCGCTCTCACCAGCTGCGTCGACCGCATCGCCGAGGTCTCCACCGACCTGTGCCGCTCCGCCTCGGTCGCCAGAGTCTTCACCGACCCAAGCCTCGCCGCCCACCGCGATGCCGCTCGTTGGAGACCCATCGTTGCGCCCTGAGGAGGGGCATGTGGTCATCACCTCCACCTAGGCCATGGAAGACAGCGCCGTCAACCTCTCCACCCTGGGTGCGCTGGTGTGGCTTGGAGGGAGTCGACCACGCATCAACGCCGAGGAGGTCAGGAACGCCATCGCCACCAAATTCGTCATCAACCGCAACTTCATCAAGGTGGTGCCGCACTATCCAGAGGATTTCTTCGTCCTCTTCTCCCACCAGCACCACCGCGACCTAGTCACCGCCTCGCCGGGCCGCTTCAACCACGGCGGGCTGGACTTCCACACCGCCAAATGGAGGCCGGAGGCACACGCTGATCTGGTGGAGGCGTACTACCATGTTCACCTGTGCATTGAAAATCTGCCGCTCAACGCATGGTGCAACGAGGTGGCAACCCAAGTGCTCGGCCCCGACACTTTCCTGCACTACTTCGACATCGCCACAGTCAAGAGAGATGACGCCTCCTCCCTCGACCTTTGGGCATGGTCTGCCAACCCCTCCGCCATCCCCAAGGTTCTCCGGCTGACGGTCACTAACAACCAGCCGGCGGGCTACAGCAACGGCCCAAGCGCTGCCGTTGGCCGGCGTGGGCTCAAGCGGCGCGTCCTGGTTCACCTCAACCTGGTTGAGGATTTCACCCCCGACGCCAATGGCAACATCCCCCGCCGGCCTCGTTCCTTGCATCCGTTCACCTTTCGCTATGGGGTCATCGATGGTGAATCCAGGATGCGGGACAGAATGGAGGTAGCTGGGAGACGTCACGACAGCCACGACCGCGACCACGACAGGGATCGCGACCACGACCGCGACAGAAGAGACGACGACCGTGACCGTGGCCGCCGTGGGCGCGACGAGCGCCCTTCCTCCTGGCAAGAGCGCTTCTTCCGGAGCAGGTCTCGCGCCCCTGAGCGTCGCCATGACGATGGGCGCCGAGACAGCAGAGAGGACCGCCGGGACGACCGTAGCTGTCAAGGGCGACGTCGCCGTCACGAGGCCCCCGACGCGCGCTCCATCGACAACAAGCTGGTCCAGCGCCTCTCGGACGGCGCCGTCATCCCAGCCTCTGGTAGACGCGGCCGTCGCCGCCCTGCGGACTGCCCGACACGCCCTGGGCGCTCTGGGGGGGAGGCTGCTAGCCCGGTCAACGAAGACACCCGTGGCCGCTCGCCCCCTTCCTCGCCACGCTCGACCTCCTGTGATGTGATTCAGCTCACCTCCGTGCCAGGCCAGGTCTCTTGGCTGCGGTGGATCGCTCCCTGTTTCGACACCAAGCAACGACAGGCAGCTGTGTGCCCTGCTCTGGCGACGCCAACACCTCCCCGTACCACGACCCTGGACATCATCGAGATCATCCCGTCCTCTCCTGTAGTGCAAGACAGTGGAGCTGCTGCTCCATCTCCTTCCTCCGAAGCTGAGGCTGAGCCGGTCACCCCGATCTTTGTCCCGGCTGTCAGCCCGGTTGCTGGCAATGCGGGGACACCGCCGTGCTCTCCCCTATTTGTCGCCTGCCAGCCATCCCTGCTCGCTGCACCAAGCTCGCCCTCCCCAAGGCCAAGACCACCGACAAGGAGAAGGAAGACGCTGGCTGGAGTCGTAGGCTTCAACCTTACTCGCTCCAGCCCTCGTCTCCAAGCCAAGGGGAGAAAGATGCCGATTGCGAAGATGGCGGAGAAGCTGCTATGCCAGCGCATGGGCGTCGTGGATGAAGGCCAACAAGTCACAGATGAAGCCATTGACAAATTTGTGGCCATGTTCCAAGGGCAACTCCCTGACATCACAGTGGCAGCTCTCCGGGCGTTGTTCAACCTCGACTGTGACTTGGCGCAAGCCGTCGAGGATGCCCTGGTGGCTCATGGTGGTGAGGCGGGTCCGGAGCTGCAGGCGGTGATGGGGGACGCGTCCGGCTCGGCGGAGTGACTGGAGCGTTTGCAGCCCCTGTAGAAGAAGTGCTCTAGTTTCCATGATAGTGTCAACCCCTCTTCTTATGTGTGTGTACGCCTGTTTGCAATCGTCGACGTCGGCGTCTGCTATCTGCTGCCTTGGCGAGGCTTTTGTGCCGATTAGTTTGTCTCGTTTCAGTATGTGTGAGCTGAATGTTGAGTGCCAGGCTGATGTTTGCTTTGTTGTGGCCAACTGCTACTTCACTTCTGATGTATCCCAAGTTTCCCATGATAAATCAAAACCTTAGTATTCTAAGCTGGAATGTCCGAGGCCTAAATTGTCCTGGCCGTCGATCAACAATCCGAGAAACAATCCTCGCTACTCCATGTCATTTGGTCTGTCTGCAGGAGACCAAGATAGAGCTTGTCGACCCTTTCACCGCTTCATACCTGGGAGGTCAAAGATTAAAGAATTTTGCCCAGCGTCCTGCTAATGGTACACGGGGTGGCATCTTGCTTCTTTGGGATAACGATGTTGTGGACGTGAAGGATGTTTCCATCGGAGTCTTCTTCCTCTCCTGCAACGTCACGATCAAAGAATCCAATACAATCTTTAAGCTAACAACGGTCTATGGACCAACAAGAAGCAACCTGAAGGATGCTTTCTTCCAGGAGTTGGTCGGCGAAAAACCTCCCCATGGCTCAAAGTGGCTTGTCTCTGGTGACTTTAATCAGATATACCGTGCCAGAGACAAGAATAGAGCAAACGTCGACCGGAGTAGACTTGTCCGCTTCCGCAATGCACTGAACACTTGTGAGCTCAAAGAGATTCATTTACAAAACAGAAAATACACTTGGAGTAATGAACGGAGTGACCCCACCTTAAGCAAGCTCGACTCTTTCTTCTGTAATGAAGATTGGGACCTCGATTTTGGCACTCACCTTCTACACGCGCTCTCGTCTTC